ATTGCTCGGCCATCTGGCTCCCCGTTGTTGGCGTAGGGCGACGTGGTGGCTTGTGCGTTCCCCAAGTGATAACTCGCTTTGGCTCAGTACTGAATGTGGTTTGGGGAAGTCGTTGCACTTGTTAATTGACTGGGGGGCCGTGAGCCACGACTCAAGTTATTCTCGGTTCATACGATTATTACTTTTTGAGAGATTTACGGCCCAATCAGATTTGAATGTGTGGCCTCATGCAACTTCTTGTGCACGTATCACCCATTTCCGCTAGCATTTTTTGTTCATGTCTGATGAAGAATCCGCGACGGAGGTCGAAACGGCAGGCTGATAAAAGTGGTGTTCAAAAAATAGTATCTGCATCTTCTCAATTAATCGAGTTTTGGTTCACGGCCCCCCAGTCTCCTAACAGGTGCAACAATCTGCCCAAACTATAGCTGTAAGACCGCTGCTGGAGTGCTTCAAAAATGTCCAATTAAAGTCGGGATGGGGGATGGGAGCTTGACAACCAAATATGTACAGGTGACCAATCTTATATTAACCGACATTCCAAAATGCGTTTTTGTGTTTAGAAAGGATTATGCAAAGGACTTTGTAATAATGCCTACCACACAGCATAATCCCATACTACTTCATTCCCGTTAGAATACCGGATTTGCAAGGTACATCCATCAGGCCACCTACAAAAACTTCATGATGTTATAAATAATAACCAATTTAGTACTTTTTCATGTTAATCCCAATACCCATTTTAAAATAGAATATAGTTCACGAAATGTGTGATCTATTTGGTAGCACATCACGCCTTCTTTATTAAGTAAAACATCAAGAAGGAGTGCATTTCGGCTTTAGTATATCCCCATTTTGATATTTTTCTCTCCGGCTAATATCCCTTCAACTAGCATATTCCTTATTACATCTACGTCGTCATCAACATCAGTAGTCAAATGCTATGGACCATATACCGTAACTTCGCAATGACACATAAAAACTTACGATTTTTGCTACAGAGAAAAAATACCTCCTCTGTAGTTCGAACTCAAAGGCGGGTCGCGCATGGTTCTATAAAATGTCGTTCGAATAATACAGCCATCAAAGACCATCAGAAACAAGGTGAAAACTCCGTGAACAGTAATTTTAACTGATTTTTGTTTTAAAAATCGTCGGAAAAGAAGTGCGTATAAAGGCCGGCATCCTGAAATATCTTGGAATTATACCGCACGATAATCAACGCTGCTCAGGTCATCCCTCCCTCCCTCCCTCGAAAATATTCTGCAGGCTTATGGGTTAACCTTTAACGCGATTGGTCGGATTTCATGTCAGCCAAAAGCTGCTTAAATGTGCATTGCCTACGTCTGCGCTGTCCCTAGACTATTATCAGGCTGTCTTGTTTAAGCCCCATGGAAACTAAGACGTGAACATGGAGTAAATCCTTCTGAACGCCAATTTTATGGGCTCGCTGCGAACGTTTATGTGACTATTTTAGCAGAAATTCAGCAACCACTGCGGAATAACCGGGATATATTCACAAGCTGCCAATAGGCAGTCGGAAGTATGAGACTGCGTAATAATTTGCCAAAGGAATGCATAGACACTACTTAAACGTCCAGATGCACGCGTTTTGCCGATTTTTGGCGCTGCATGATGCATCTGCGAGGTTATGCAGCGACACATAGCAGCTGATGAGCAGTGGCGAACGTTTTCGACTCCAATACATTCTGTAAAATCTACATGTTTTAAATGGGTATCGTGGAAACATGTTCCAAATATTTAATTTTCTCATTTCCGATTTTTATATGCGACAACTGCCTTTTCAAAGGATTATTAAGGGTTGCATCGTTTAAAATTAAACGTTTTTTTAAGATGTTACAACCGGAGACACGGCTGAGATAAGGAACGCCTGAGAGGTTGTTCCTGCTAAAGCCGCTATGAACGTGACTTTTCATTAATGAGTATCTATAACTTTTAGCCGTTACAAATGATTTACTTCCGAGACAACCTACATAAAAGCTAACTGAAAAGACACATATTTTTTATCGTTGCATCAAGAAAATGCTCGTCAGTGGGTCCTCCAGGGTTCCTTGAGTGTATTCTGGTACCTTAACACAGGTTTTCACCCCACTGTGTTAAATATCCGAGGTAATTACTACGCGAGCTTGGGGCAAAATCCTTCGGGGAGCAAACTTTTACTGGGTAGTATAAATATTTTAATTAATATGCGTGAAGATAGTAGGTAATGGTAGGATAATCGGAGCCATGCGCAGATAAGGGTGAAACATGCACAGATAGCCCGATATTTATAGTTCGTAGCAGTCATCCGCGTGCGTACTATAATTATCCGTCCGTCTCCCGTAGTCACCGCTTGGGGTCTTAATTGGTGCGGTGATGGCTTGAGACTTCACGTTCGACTCATTAATTGCCGCGATTTCCTTGTCCGTGTTGGATGCGGGTTTGGTAATTGCACGACAGTTATGCTCGCTGTCGTCCGAGTTGTTGCTGGGCCCGGCCCTTCCCACGTGACTGATTCTCCTGCTCAGGCAACTTCTCAGTACGCAGTAGGGAAATGCCAGCTCGTTGCTCTTGTTGATGGACTGGAAGCCTGAGAACCATGACTCGAGCAGCTCGCGGTTCACGTGGTTGTCACCTCTT